AAGCTAACACACACACGTGCAAGTCAGCTCACACACACACACACACACACACACACACACACGCACCTTTGGGACGTCTTTGCTGAAGAGCTTCATCACCAATCGGCCAGCTGCACAAGGTGCGGTGTGCTCAAGCACGTGTCAATGACAAAGAACCGAAGCAACTCACAAACACACACGCACACGCACACGCAAACACGCACGCATACGCGCAAACACAGACGCACAATTCCCCCTATTTCCTTCCCCCCCCCTCCCTCCACTGACCTGGCTTGTTGCCAATGGCAATGTCCATGAACACCTTTGCGTTGCGAGCAGCCATCTTCTGCGTTAGTTGGTTGGTCAGTGGTTTGTATTGGTAGTTGTGGTTGCGGAAAAGTGGTTGGCATCATGCGCAATATTTCGCGAAGCACGCTGACAAGCAAGCAAGAAGCGAGACGAAGAGCAAGGCCGGCACACAAACAAGCACACTCTCATCATCCTCAAACGCTGTGTAACAGAACACGACAACACCACAGCATACAAGGCAAGGTCAACCATGTTTCGGAAAGAGCAGAAGAAGAAAGGGGCCAAGGTACAGGTGAAGCAGTCTGGGGTGCGGCGGCTGCGCGCCAGCATCACAGAGGCGTATCCTCGGGTGAGCCAGGCACAGCTCGACGGCCTGGTGCCCGTGAACGGCCTGATCAAGCAGCAGAAGTTTGCCTCGCACGCGTCCGCCTACTACTACGATGGGCTGCCCGTCTTCTTCACCGTGCACCCCAAGGGCGGCAAGGAGGAGCTCTTGCCCACGCTCTACTCGTTGCACATTGCGCCACAGATCATGCCCTCCGTGGAGGTGGCGCCCGGGCTGCAGCGGAAGATCTGCACCAAGCACGACCGGCTCTTCATGCCGGGCGTGCTGATGCGCCAGCCGCCCTCTCCGCGCGTCTCGTGGGTGACGTACAACTTTGGCCGCTTCAACAAGGGCGACAAGGTGCTACTACACGAACAGGGCGTGTGGTTTCCGTTTGCCATCGGCGAGTGGCTGCTGGACTCGCGCGACCTGGAGTTCAAGGGCGCCGTCGGCGAGAGCATCGGCATCCTGCACCACATCGACGACACCCTGTGGCTGGAAGGGCATGCGCGCATCCCCACGGAGAAGCCAGACATCGTGGACGAGGCCATCCAGGAGCACGAGGACAAGATTGTGCAGCAGGCGCACGCGCGCGCCCAGGCCGCAGTGGACAAGCGCAACCAGGAGCGGCTGCGGGCGAAGATCGCCGCTGCGGAGGCCACGGTCGCCGCACACCCGAAGGAGCACCGCAAGGCAACCAAGGCGCTGCGGGCCATTGCCGACCTGAAGGAGAAGAAGGCACAGGGCGCATCGCTCGACCCGGACCAGGAAGCCAAGCTTGCCCGCGAACAAGAACTGAGTGCAGAGGTGGAGGAGCTGACGCGAACGTTCGCGGAGGCAACGGCGTTTCTTGAGTCGCCGCACCTTACGCCCGAGGAAGAGGAGCACGTGCAGACGGAGGAGGAGGAAGGGAGGGAGGAGAAGGGCGCTGCTGAAGGGAGGGAGGTTGAAGGAAAGGAGGTGCAGGAGCAGGAGCAGCAGGAGCAGCAGGAGCAGCAGGAGCAAGGAGAGGAGGAAGAAGAGACACACAAGCAGGAGAAGGAAGAGACACACGGGCAGGAGGAGCAAGGAGAGGCAGCAACAGAAGAAGGTGCTGGTGAGCAGCAACCAGACACTGCAGCAGATGCAGTGACTGCGACAGCACACCTGTCCTCATCCACAACACAGACATCCGAGCAAGACGAGCAACAGCTAGCAGGCAGTGAAGAGCACTCTGAATCCCAAACCGAACCACAACCAGAACCACAACCAGAACCACAACCAGAACCGCAGCCACAACTTGAGGCACAACCACAACCACAACCAGAGCCGGAGCCAGAGCCGGAGCCGGAGCGCACGGCGGACGAGGTGGCCAAGCTGGCGCTGCTGCTGGCCATCAAGACAACACTGACCGCAGACGCGCTGCCGTTGCTTGCAAGCACGGCCATGGCACAGCACATCAAGCCTGCAGCGTCGCGGCTGCGCGAGCGCGCGTTCAACATCAAGGCCACGAAATGGAAGCAGGTGAAGAAGTTTCTTGCCGCGATGGCGGAGGAAGGGCTCATCACCATATCCGAACCCGTGACCGGCAAACTCATGATTGACAGCATCGACTACACGCACTCGGACCTGCTGTTTGACGTGGACGATGTGGTGGTGCCACACGATGACGGTGACAGTGATGATGATGACGGGCTGTTGCGCGGCGTGGCCATGGTGGAGAGCGATGCGAAGCGCAAGCAGATGGCGGCCATCAAGGGCAAGCAGCCGCCGCGCAAGGGGAAGGTGAAGCAGAACCAGAAGATCCTGGTGCAGTCGAAGCGCGTCAAGGGCCGCCAGCACGTCATTGTCACGCGCTGGGACGACCTTGGACTGGAGGCGGACGCAGACACGTTGTCGCGACTCAAGCAGCTTGTCTCTGCGGCGGTGGACGTGAAGCAGATTGCGGGCAGGAAGAAGAAGCAGCAGCAGATTACGTTCCACTGCAAGCTCGCCCACAAGGCCGTGGACGCCATGTGCAAGGTCTGGGGGCTCGAGAAGAGGCACTTTGACGTCAGATGAGCACCATCTCCATGTGCTTGTGCTTGTGCTTGTGATGTCATGGGCACAATAAACAACAACTCTTCTGTTCATGTAGTATTGTGGTACAGACGTGTGTGTGTGTGTCGCACACAAAGAGCACACACACACACACACACACACACACACACACACACACACACACACACACACACACACACACACACACACACACACACACACACACACACACCACTCCACTCCCAATGACTGGATTCAGTCGATTGGACTTAATTCAGTTTTACCAAAGAAGCAACGGAAAGATGAGCAGCGAGAGGACAACCCAACGCCCGTCGTGAGTGTGTGTGTGCGTGTGTGTGCGTGTGTGTGTGTGTGTGTCTGTGTGTGTGTCTGTGTGTGTGTGTGTGTGTGTGTGTGTGTGCGTGTGTGTGTGTGTGTGTCTGTGTGTGTGTGTCGTGTGTGTGTGTGTGTGTGTGTGTGTGTCTGTGTCTGTGAGTGTGTGTGTGTGTGTGTGTTTGCTGTGAACATATCCCCGCCACATCCACCACATCCACCACATCCACCGCATCCCCTGTCGTCTCCCGCATCCCTCTCTGCTTCCGCTCAGTTGTGCACCTGCTCTTGTTGCGCATCGGTATTGTAGGATGGGCGATTTAAAGCGCCAGCAGCCCGCTATCTTTGCGGCACAGGACGGCAGCCCGGTGGTGGAGCGGCGACGGTCCAGCGATGCAGCGCGAGCAGACGGCAATGATACGGGCAAGAGTGACCAGAGGGATGCGCACGCGGCTCACGAGAATGGCCAACGAAGGGGTGGTGCCGTTGGCAACTCCCAATCCGTGCACACCAAGCGAACGCAGCCCCAAATTGCTTCCATCAAGGCCACCAACTCTCTCCCGTAAGTGTGTGTGTGTGTGTGTGTGTGTGTGTGTCTGTCTGTCTGTCTGTCTGTCTGTCTGTCTGTCTGTCTGTCTGTCTGTGTGTGTGTGTGTGTGTGTGTGGAGTACTGTTGATTGATGTCACCAACGTCGACTTTGTAACCCCCTGTACCCCGTACTCATCCACCACATCCACCACTGTGCCTGTGCTTCGTTTGCAGCACTCGATCGCTTGATCACAGCGACAGCCTAGAGCAACAAGATGAAAGTGACAACGACCAGCTCGACGACTCAATGAACAGAAGCGGTGTGTGGTGTGCGGCTGTATATGTATGTACGTATGTGTGTGTGTGTGTGTGTCTTGAACTGGTCACGGTGAGGTTGTTGTGTTGCGCTTTTGTGTGACGACTACAAACTCATGACATGTTGTGTAACCGTTTATCAGCTGATGACCGCCAGGCAACATCTCTCAAACGACACGAACAACACACCCTCGAAGAACAGGTGCGTGTGTGCGTGTGTGTGTGTGTGTGTGTGTGTGTTTATGACAATCTTGGCTGTTGACGATCCTTACCCATCACAACCACAACCATTGCCACCACTACTTCCTCCCTCCCCCGCCGAACACATGCTTGCTGTCACACCGATTCGCGTTGCCTTACCTGCCACCAGGCGCGCAAGATGCAAGCAGAGCTCCTCGCTCTCAATCGCGGATTCGCAAAGGAAGACATGCTCGCTTTCGGTACGTGTGTGTGTGTGTGTGCGTGTACTTTCTTTGTGTATGTGCGTACGTAACCCTGTGCCCTTCTGTCTGTTTGTGTGCCTTAACTGCTGTGTATTTGCGACACGTGTTCGGGAATCTATTCGCAGCGTTGCACAATGCCTCACAGTGTTGTGATGCGACCATAAGTCTTTCTACTTTTGAAATCACACACTGCTTGTTTGTGTGCTGCGTGTTGTTGCTCCCTCGCCTCCTCTCGTAGGCAGCAACACCGTCGCCATCTTCAACCGCTTCGATCAGCTCAAGCGCAGCCAAGATCAGCTGACTCAGCACTTTTGGAACCTCGAGGACACCATTGCCGCAAACAGGTACGGGGCTCTGTGTGCGTGTGTGTGTGTGTGTGTGTGTGTGTGTGTGTCTTTGTCTGTCTGTCTCTCTGTGTGTCTGTGTGTGTGTGTGTGTTTGTGTGTCTGTGTGTGTGTGTGTGCCTGTGTGTGTGCCTGTGCATGTCTCTGTCTATCTGTGTGTCTGTGTGTCTCTCTGTGTGTGTCTGTGTGTCTCTCTGTGTGTGTATGTGTGTGTTTGTGTGTTGCTGTGGTGTTCCACTTTTCCATTGTCCTTCCCCCACCTCTCACCCCCATGTTCCCATATCCCTGTCACTGCAATCCCACCACTCCACGTGACTCAGAATGGCTGCATCGGACAACGGCGCCACCGACGACACCCCGGTGCGCAGCCAAATGCGATAGAAGGCACTGTATTTGAATTGCTGCGTGAGACTGCTGTGGTTGTACCGCACACATACACACACACACACACACACACATACACATGTGACGGAATCGCTCATCCCCGACCCTTCCTGTTCCCCTCCCCCTTATGTTCCGACTTTGCCATTCACAGCTGTCCAATTTCGGAGCGTTCACAGACGCCATCAACATGCATAAAAAGGTGCGTTCATCACAACCACGACCAGCACCACAACCACCAGCGACGACACATCGCAATATAGCCCACTACGTGCCCGCTCCTCGCCTCTCCTTCCATTCACACACACACACACACAAACACACACACACACACACACACACACACACACACACACACACACACACACACACACACACACACACACACACCGCACACGCTTCCCCCTAACACCCTGTTCTCCCCCCCCCCCCCCCTCCTTCTGCCTCCCACCTCGAGCCAGGGTGTGTTTGAGTCTCTGCAGGAGCTGTCGAATCAGCTCGACAGCCTGGCGCCGCTGCCGTCAGACACACAAGCGGGCTCGGAGCAGCACCACCCGCTGCACCAGTTCTCAAGCATGGTTAGCCACAGCCAGGACGACAGCACGTTCATGGATATGTTCACCCGTCCCAGTCGCCACTACCACGTCACCGCAAACACAGCAGCAGCAACAACAGCAACAACAGCAACAGGGCGCTCCAACAGACGTCGCCAGCAGCAACAGCAGCGCCGGCGGAACAATTACAGTCGCGACGTTGCAGTGCCCACGACGCTGCGTGAACTGGAGATGAGGGTGGCAGATGGCAACGAGTTTGCTGAGGAGGGCAGCAGTGACGGTAGTGGTGGTGGTGGTGGTGGTGACGGTGACCATGGTGGGGGTATGGAGGTGAGCGGACGTGGCTGGGGCAACGAAGGCGATGGTGAGGACTTGGACCGACTGCGACAATTGCGCAATGAACGCACACGACAGCTGCAGCAGCGACAACAGCGACAACAGCGGCAGGTGGCGGTAACAGACGCAGCTGCCCCACGCACACGCGCACGAACACAGCGTGACGGCACTGCCCAATACCAACAACGACCGTCACCGCGAGCACAGCGACGGCAACAGCAGCAACAGCAGCAACAGCAACAAGAAAGGCAGCCGGAGAGGAGGAGAACTGGGGCTGGTCCGTATACACGTGCACCTCGGGAGGAGAGGAAAGACATGCCATACCCGAACGCCAATGGCCTTGATTATGATGCAGGTGATGCATATGAGCAGGGGGAGAGGCTGCCGTTCGTTCCACAACCACAACAACGGCAACAACAACACCGGCCTGAACCGCAGCGTGATTCCGCAGGGTACCCTGGTGTCGTGGACAGCCGTGGCAATGATCGTGACGATGACCGTGACGACCGTGGTGGTGTTGTGAGACGTGCACGCCGCCTGCCGCAGGAGGGCCTGCGTGAGGGGCGAGGTGGAGCAAGGCTGCCGAGCGCAGGCCGCGATGGTGTGGATGTTGTCAGCAGCGAGGTGGATGCGTTGCTTGCGGACTTTGGAGCGAGTCGGCGCTGGCGTGCGCGCGGCTTTGGCGCAGACGCATCTCAGTCCTCCACACCAGTGCGCAGCGCGGGTGGCGTGGGTGGCGGTGCTGGGCATGGTGCCAGCTGGCGCGATCGCGCACGTGCGCATGCACAGCGCATCAGCTCCGATGCTGGTGACGACGATCACGACGACGACGATGATGGCGATGGTGAGCAAGGGTTGGGGTCGTGGCAGATAAGACCGGCACCTGCAGGGGACGATGCGGTGAACGCTGTTCGTCTGCGCAGGGCCCACGGCAACGGCACGGCGGTGCCAGCACGAACAGCGGCGCCACGACGAGCGCCGCTGCCCTCGGCGAGGGCGAGTGGGATCCGAGGGGTGCGGGAGAGCATAGGGACGGGCCGGAACACCGTGTTTGTGAGCGATGACGGCGGCCTTGATGATGACGACTATGACGATGCTGGCCATGGTGGTGTTGGTGGCGGTGGTGGCTTGCACCGTGCACGCATGAGCACGGTTGGGGAGGAGGGGGAGGAGGGCGATGGGAACGACGACAGCTTGAACGACTCAATTGCGTTCAGCAGCGACGCGCACTCCTCACGGCTGGACAACAACACGAGCGGGCTGAGCCATCTCGGCGACGCCGGCGGTTACGACAATGACGGCCCTGCCGAGGACAGCGCTTACGCCGGGCCGTATGCAGCTGTGGGTGATGGCGGCGGTGGTGTTGATGGTGACAGCAGTGGCCGCGTTGCTCACGGGCGGCGCGTGAGGCGTGATGATGGTGCTGCTGATGCTTATCACGGTGATGATGGTGATGGTGAAGATGGTAATGGTGGCGGTGAGCGAGGCAGGCCACGAGCAGGCAGGAGAAGCACAGCGCGTGCACGAGCAGCCAGGAATGTGCCTGCAAGCACCGCTGCCACGGCTTCAAGGCGCAAGTCAAGCTTCTTCTTCGATGGCCACCACAACGACGACGATAACGAGGTGGACGTGTGACGATGACTTGGTTGCGGGCAATGCTGTTGTTGTTGTTGTTGTTGTTGTTGTTGTTGTTGTTGTTGTTGTTGTTGTTGTTGTTGTTGTTGTTGTTGTTGTTGTTGTTGTGCCACTTCTTCCTTGGTGTTCACCTCGCGTCATGCGTAGGATTGGTTGCTCTTAGTTCGCATGTTGCCGTTGGCTGATTGCTTGTGTAACCGATTGATTGTAACCAATGGACGAGATCGAGAATCACAAGAAGAAAGACAGTCACAAATGAGGGGAAGTGCTCCTGAACTTTTGAGCAAGTGCACATGAATTCGTGAGCTGCAGGGGAGGGAACACAAGAGAAGGCTAGACACAGCACGCAGTAGCACTGAAACAAAGCCTGCTCTATCAGCGCAGCCAAGCCCAACACAGCGCTACAGCGAGGACGAGGATAAGGGTGTTGGTGCGCCAGGTCATTGTCTGAACCGAACACACGACACAGACATGAAAACTGTTGACGTTACGCACAGGTTTTCGTCAATCCACGACCTTGGCAACCTCGCTCATTCAGTCGTTCTCCTCCTCCAAGCACGCCACTGCAGCACTGCACAATCCCCACATCCTCTCAGCCTCTCCTCCTCACCTAGTTTGATTTTGATAGCTTGTTGGGCGACAAAGGGAAGCAGAAGAACCATGGCCAACGGCAACGACGAGCACCGCCTAACAGACGGTGTGTCTGTGGCCGCGATCAAGGCCTTCCTCGCAGACCTGAAGAAGAAGTTCCCCAGCAAGTACACTGAGATGACCACGGCGGATGCTTGCAAGCAACTGGTTGTGCCACGCACACAGCAGGACAACTGCGCGTACGTCGACCTGTTGCGCAAACAATCGCCTAAAAGGGTGGGCAAGGCCACTGTGTTTGTGTCGCACGCGTGGCGATACAAGATCGCGGACGTGCTCAACGTGCTGCTAGAGTTTGCGAAGGAGCAAGCACGGAAGGAAGACAGCAAGCCCGTGTTCTTCTGGTTTGACCTCTTCATGAACAACCAAAACGCCAACGTCACGGCCAACCTCCCACAAGAGTGGTGCGTCTATGTGTGTGTGTGTGTGTGTGTGTGTGTGTGTGTGTGTGTGTGTGTGTGTGTGTGTGTGTGTGTGTGTGTGTGTGGGCACCTCCAGGGTGTGTGTGTGTGTGTGTGTGTGTGTGTGGGCAGCTGTGTGCGTGCGTGTGTGTGTGTGTGTGTGTGTGTGTGTGTGTGTGTGTGTGTGTGTGTGTGTGTGTGTGTGTGTGTGTGTGTGTGTGTGTGTGTGTGTGTGTGTGTGTGTGTGCGTGCAATTTGAACTCGACCTCGCCGTTTTTGCACACATCCACCCCCTTACACGCTGCCCCCCCCTCCTCCCTTCCACCCCAACACCCTCGCCCACCACACACACAACAGGTGGAGCACGACGTTCAAGGAGTCGATTGCCAACATTGGGCGCGTGCTGCTGGTGTTGATGCCGTGGCGTGACCCCGTCCCACTGACCCGTGCGTGGTGCCTGTGGGAGATCTTCTGCGGCATCAGCAACGAGGGCACAGAGGTCAACATCCGCCTGCCCAAGAGCGAAGAGAAGGCGCTGGAAGACGCCATCCAAGACGAGTACGAGGCCGTGACGGATACGCTGGTGCGAGTGCAGGCGCAGCGTGCTGAGGCCTTCAACCCACGCGACAAGGACATGATCTTTGAGGCCATCCAGAACGGCGTGGGCTTTGGTGCACTCAACCAGGCCGTGAAGGACCAGCTGCGCGCGTGGTGCCTGGAGAAGGCGGTGGCTGCGGTGGAGGCGATGCGGGCCAGGCGCGAGCACAAGACGGAGGCGTTTGCGCAGCTGTGCGGCCAGGTTGGCGTTGTGCTGAACACGTTTGGCGAGCATGACCAGGCCATCGCGTACTACGAGACAGCCCTGTTGATCTATCGACGGACTGAGGGGAAGAAAGGCGAGAACGTGGCGACGCTGCACAACAACCTGGGCATCGCGTGCCGACGCAAGGGCGCGTACGACAAGGCCATCCAACACTACAAGAAGGCGCTCGCCATCCGGGTGGAGGTGCTGGGCGAGAAGCACCCGACCACAGCGGAAACCCACAACAACCTCGGCGAATTACACCGCCACAAGGGCGACTACGACAGCGCGATTGAATGCTACTCGAGGGCGAATGAAGTGTTTGTGGAGACGCTTGGCGACAAGGATTCGAACACAGGGATGACATACGGCAACCTGGGCATTGCGTACCTCAGCAAAGGCGAGTATGACAAGGCCATTGAGTTCATCGAGAAGGCGCTTGCCATCATGGTGGAGATACTTGGCGACAAGCACCCGAACACGGCCATGACGCTGGGCAACCTCGGCATTGCCTACCTCGAGAAGGGCGACCACGACAAAGCCACAGACCAGTTTGAGAAGGCCCTGGCCATCTACCTGGAGGCGTTTGGCGACAAGCACCCGGCCACGGCGGACACCTACACCAACCTCGGCAACGTGTACGTCGAGCAGCGCGATTTCGACAGGGCCGTTGAGTACCTTGAGAAGGCCCTTGCCATCAGGGTGGAGGCGTTTGGCGAGAACCACCCGAGCACAGCGATGGCGCTTGAGAACATTGGCCTGCTGCACGGCGACCGCGGCGACAAGGAGCAGGCTAGCGCCTACGTGGAGCGGGCGCTTGGTGTGTTTGAAGCCACGCTGGGGCCAGACCATCCCAACACGCGCAAGGCGATACTCAGCCTGCGGCACGTTCGCGGTAAAGATGATCATGACGAGGAGAAGGAGAAGAAGAAGAAGGAGGAGGAGGAGGAGGAGGAGGAGAAGGAGGTGGGGGAGGAGGAGCTGGAGGAGAAGGTGGGCGAGAAGAAGGAGGAAGATGGGAAGGAAGAGGAGGAGGAGAAGAAGGAGGAGAAGGAGGAGGAAGATGGGGAGGAAGAGGAGGAGGAGAAGAAGGAGGAAGATGGGGAGGAAGAGGAGGAGGAGGAGGAGAAGAAGAAGGAGGAAGATGGGGAGGAAGAGGAGGAGGAGAAGAAGGAGGAAGATGGGAAGGAAGAGGAGGATGGCGACAGTAACAAGCAGGAGGAGCAGGAGCTGAACCAGGTACAAGAAGGGAGCGGCGATGGCAAGGCGCAAGCTTTTGCCGGCCAGCAAGATGAAACAAGCCAAGATGGGTCGCCACAGCAGCCGCTTACCGGATGGCTGCGGAAACGTGGGCGACGGAGGGGCACCTTTCGCCCGTGCTGGTGCAAGCTTGACGATGGACACTTGGCGTACGGCAATGCTGCATCAGGCACGGCCAAGCGACACATTCCCCTGTCAAGTGTGCTGTCAGCTGAGGTTGCCCATGGTGGCGAAGAGCTGCGCGTCGCCGTTCCCGGGCGAACCTTCGTCTTCCGCCCAGACGACCGCTCTGACGCCTCGCTCGCTGACTGGTGCACCGCCATCAACAGCCGCATGAGTGAGGGCGCGAGGAAGGGTGTTGTTGTGAGCGTGGGTTGCTGCGTCAAGTAGTGTGTGTGGTGTGTGTGTGTGTGTGTGTGTGTGTGTGTGTGTGTGTGTGTGTGTGTGTGTGTGTCTGTAGGTCTGTGCGTGTGTGTGTGTGTGTGTGTGTGTGTGTGTGTGTGTGTGTGTGTGTGTGTGTGTGTGTGTGTGTGTGTGCTGTTGTTTGCGCAGTCCTTCATCAAACCACCGGGACCTGAATTCAGTTGTATTCCAAAACTGCTGACTCAGACAGTATACGATTCGCACAAGTTTGTGCTTGAACACGCAGCAAATCAACATATCCACCACACATGTTTTGCTGACTCTGCATAATCTGTGCGCGTATGTATTTTTGACGCCTTACACGCACACACGCCCCCTCAAACAACAAGAACCACTGACTGACTTGGCGACTGAGGGCGCCGATTGATTGCATTTTCACCAGACCACCACTGCCGACTGCTGTCGATCGATCGATCTCTCTCTGTTCTTGTTCCAGCCACGATCCGTGATCCGTGAACGTTCCACCCACTCAAACACCCTCAACCACACACAGAACCGCAAGCATGTCGAAGAAGGCTGGCGACGTGTCCATCTTTCGGGTCCCTCCCTTCCACTACCTCCATGTCCTGGATCAGACCAGCAACGTCACGCGGGTGAGCGTGTGTTTGTGTGTGTGTGTGTGTGTTTGTGTGTATTTGTGTTTGTGTTTGTTTGTTTGTTTGTGAAACGTGCGTTTCTTCCCATCTTGCATGCATGCGTTCCGTCTGCCTTGCTTTGCTTTCTTTCTTTGCACATCGATCGAGAGGCGATTGATCGACCGCATCGACTGCACATTATCACCCCACTCCGTGCGCTCACTCACACATCAACCAACCCCCCCCCCTCTCTCTCTCTGTGTCTCCCACGAACATCCAACCAGGTTGTGACTGGCCCAGTGACGTTTATCCGCCAGGAGAATGAGGTGGTGCTGCTTGGGCCGGAGAAGATGATCACCATCCCTCCGCGCCACTACTGCATTGTGAAGAACCCCGTGCTGCGCGACGACGACACGGGCGAGATTGTGGTGGACGAGCTCTCCAAGCAGGTCAAGCTGCGTCACTCCGAGCTGGAGGTGCGCCGCACCACGGAGCCCTTCCCGCTGTACCCTGGCGAGGAGCTGCACATGCCCGTCACCCCGCTCACCGTCGTGCCCGCAGACAGTGCGCTGCACATCCAGGCCATCCTCGACTTTTCCGACGACGACGGCAACCGCCGCATCGCCGGCGACGAGTGGCTCTTTGAGGGGCCCGGCACCTACATCCCGCGCGTGGAGGAGAAGGTGGTCAAGCTGGTGCACGCCGTCGTGGTGCTGCCCAACCAGGCCCTGCGCCTGTGCGCCCTCAAGGAGACGCGCGACCGCGACGGGAACATGCGCGTGACCGGCGAGGAGTGGATGGTGGACCGCGTCGGCGCCTACCTCCCCGGCGTCTACGAGAAGGTCGTGGACACGGTCAACAGCTTTGTGCTCACGGACAAGAACGCGCTGCACCTGCGCGCCACCCGCTCCTTCAAGGACCGCTTTGGCAAGGAGCGCAAGACGGGCGAGGAGTGGCTCATCACCCTCACAGAGGCCGAGTGCTACATCCCGGGCGTGTACGAGGAGGTGGTGGCGGACGTGGACATCACCACCCTCTCCAACCGCCAGTACGCCGTCATCCTCAACCCGGTCGACGCCCACGGCCGCCAGCAGCTGGGCTCCAAGAAGCTGGTCAAGGGGCCCAACTCGTTCTTCCTGCAGCCGGGCGAGATGCTCGAGGCCGGCGTGCAGGACGTGTACATCCTGGGCGAGGACGAGGGCCTCATCCTCCGCTCCACAGAGACCTTCACGGACACGTACGAGGGCAAGGAGGTGCAGCGGCTGCCTGGCGACCGCTGGATGATCCGCGGCCCCGCAGAGTACGTCCCGCCTGTGCAGGTGGAGGTGGTGCAGAAGCGCGAGGCCATCCCGCTCGACGACAACGAGGGCATCTACGTGCGCGACACCAAGACGGGTAAGGTGCGCGCCGTCATTGGGCAGACGTACATGCTGACGCAGGACGAGGAGCTCTACCACAAGGAGCTGCCCCAGAACGTGGAGGAGCTGCTTGCCAGCCAGCGCGACCCGCTCGCCGACCGCAGCTCCCGCAAGGCCGGGGGCGCCCCCGCGGGCCCACGCGACAAGACGCGCGTCATCTCCTTCCGCGTGCCGCACAACGCCGCCGTGCAGGTGTACGACTACAAGGAGAAGCAGGCGCGCGTGTCCTTTGGCCCAGACCTGGTCATGCTGGGGCCCGACGAGCAGTTTACCGTCATCAGCCTCTCTGGCGGCAAGCCCAAGCGGCCAAACCAGATTCGCTCGCTCTGCCTCCTGCTGGGCCCAGACTTTTGCACGGACATTGTGCAGATTGAGACGGCCGACCACGCGCGCCTGCACCTGCAGGTGTCGTACAACTGGGAGTTTGAGGTGGACAAGACCAGCGCCGAGGACGCCGCGCGCCTGTTTGCCGTGCCGGACTTTGTCGGCGACATGTGCAAGGCCGTGGCCTCGCGCATCCGCGGCGCCGTGGCCCAGGTGCAGTTTGACGACTTCCACAAGAACTCGGCCCGCATCATCCGCGCGTCGGTGTTTGGCACAGACGACCAGAAGCGCGTGCGGCAGCGGTTTGTGTTTCCGGCCAACGGCCTGAGCATCACCAACATCGACATTCAGTCGGCAGAGCCCGTGGACCAGCGCACGCGTGACGCGCTGCAGAAGTCTGTGCAGCTTGCGATTGAGATTACAACGGCGTCACAGGAGGCCACTGCCCGGCACGAGGCCGAGCGGCGCGAGCAGGCGGCCAAGGGCGCGCTGGAGCGGCAGAAGATTGAGGACGAGGCCGCCGCAGAGGAGGCGAAGAAGTCGCTGCTGGAGCTGCAGGCGCAGAGCGCAGCTGTGGAGAGCACCGGTCAGGCCAAGGCCGAGGCGCAGTCGCGTGCAGAGGCCGCGCGCATCGAGGGCGAGGCAGCCGTGGACCAGGCCCGGCTCAAGTCTGAGGCAATGAACATTGAGAGCGAGGGCGATTTGGACCGCCTGCAGAAGGCGCGCGAGGCGGAGCTCGACTTTATCCGCAAGCAGAACGACCTGGAGCTGGAGAAGCAGCAGCGCATGAACGAGCTGGAGATTGAGAAGTTCCAGAAGATGGTGTCGGCCATCACCCCGCAGGCGCTGTGCGAAATGGCACGTGCTGGGCCCGAGATGCAGGCCAAGCTGCTGGGCGGCCTGGGCATCTCCTCCACGCTCATCACAGATGGCTCCTCCCCGATCAACCTCTTCAACGCCGCATCTGGTCTCATTGGCATTGACCAGGGCAAGCAGCAGCAGCAGCGCAAGTGAGGCGGTGTGGTGTGTTTGTGATTGTGTATGTGTGTGTGTTGCGTGTGTTGCCTTTTGTGTTTTGTGTGCATAGTCCATGTGTCCGTACTCTTGTGTCCAACCGCACTCTTGTTTTCTTTTGTCTCTTCTGCTTGCTTTCCTTTTTTGTGTGATGTTCCGAACAAGCGCGTGCGTTCACAAGCGCTCAATGACCAAAACCTTACGCCTCTCTCCAAAGGAGCAATAAACATGTATGCTGCTCATGCCATCATCGACGATATCAACACGAAAAAAACTAGCAACTCGCAAACCCAACAAAAGAATCAATACGCACGCACACATGCATGCATGCACGCACGACATCAGTCCGTGTGCTGTTGTTGTTGTTGGAGCTTGACGAGATCTGCCACGTACTTCATCTCCTCTGCACAAGCGCGCGACGTAAACTCGCCCGCCCTGCCCCAGCCTGACGCCGCCTCCCCAACCTGCGGCCGGATCCGCGTGTACATCCCATATGCGTGCGTGTCCAGCCACATGGGGTTGGGCGCAGCCTGCCCCAGCAGCCACAGCCAGCGGCACACCACCTGCAGCTGCTGCTTGAAGCTGCGTCGCAGGTGCGCCATCACCACGAGCGGCGACACCACGCGCCCTCTCGACCGCGCACGCACGCCAAGCGGCGTCTGCTCCACCTCCACATCCCGCCCAAGCACCCGAATGGACGTCACAGACGACAACGACGACGACGACGCACGTGATGATGATGATGATGCGAATGATGATGTGAGCGATTGCATTGATGATGATGATGATGATGATGGTGCCGGTCCATGTGTGGCGATACCGAGACGAGCGCCTTTGGCCGCAGCAAACGCATCAGCCAGCGCCCGCCCAAGCGTCAGGCCCGTGCACCACGTGTGACCTTGCAGCCGCGCAACCACCGCCACCCACAAGATCAGCACGGGGCTGCGGTTCACAGACACCACAAACGGCGGCAGCGATGACGGTGATGATGATGATGATGATGACGACGATGATGTCGATATTGATGGTGGTGTCACAAACGACTCGAGGGTGCGGTCAATGTCACCATCCGTCTCTTGCCGCTTCGCGCGCTTAGCACTCGGCTCACCACCATCGCCACTCGTGGTGGAAGAAGATGCAGACGCCACATCGCTACCGTCACCACCACTACCTTCACCATCACCATCCTCTGCCCACTGCGCCTTGTCTGCATCGGAGAGGTTGTTCCACTGCGTCTTCGCCACCGCCAGCAGTTTGTGTAGCGGCATGCCAGCGTGTTTTCGCTTCAGCTCTGCCTTGTTCGCCTCCAACCACGCCAGAAACCCGTTGCCCTTCTTCTTCTTCTTCTTCCGCTTCCCACCCTCTCCACGCTTCTTGTACTGCACCTCAGCAGATGGCGGCACCATAAACCCATTGGCAACATCTCCCCCATCACCACCACCGCTGGCACCATGTACCCCCGCGCTCTTCATCTTCTCCTCCCACGCCCGCTTGAGTGCGGCCGCCTCGTCAATCCACGCCACCCGCTCCTCTGTCCCGAGCGCCTGCCACATGTTCGCCAGCTTCGCCTGCAAATGCTTCTTGTTCCGCAGCCGGAATCGGTGCGCCACATCCTCCCGGTTTCGATCACAGTACAACTCAAACGCAGACCGCGGGCGTCTCGCACCACCACTTTCTCCGCTGCTGCTGCTGCTGTCATTGTTGTCATCGTTGGTGCTGTTGCTGTTGTCGTTGCTGGTCCTGTTCCTGTTGGCAGCGGCACCAGACTGTCCCCTTTCCTTGCCCTTCTTCCCTGCTGCTGTTGCTGCTCGCTTGGACCGCAGTTGTGCCGGTGTCGGTGTGTCCGTTTCCTGGGGAATGGCCATGCCTTGCTTCTTCATCAGCTTGTGCAGTGATGCACGCAACCGATTGCTCTTGAAGAAGGGCAGAAACCCATCACCGCTGCCACCACGCTGCTGCTGCTGCTGCTGCTGTGATGATGGTGATGATAACAGTGACGATGATGAGGCAGACGCTTGGCCACCACCACGGCCACCAGCACGCTGACCAGCACTGCTCCGCTTGCCCTGATTCGGCTCGCGCTTGCTGGGGAGGCGATCGAAGAAGTGGAGAATGGACGTCTGGTGCATGCGCGCATCGCGAGCGGGCTGCACAAGCGGCAGAATGTAGTCGTCAGCCCTGTGCCGCTCCCAGCCGAGCTTCTCCGCCACAAACCGGCGCAGCCCATCGAGATCAATGCTTGCCCACGTGAACGGCTGGTCGTCCGCGTCGACAACAGGGGCGAGGTACGCACGGCGAACCAGCGGGTTGGGGAAGGCAGGGTGCAGGGCGATGGTGTTGCGGAGGCGGTCGATGCTGCGCACACCGACGCGCGGCGCATCGGGATTGAGCACCCAGTCCTGGTCATGGGTTTTGTTGTGGCAGTCACGTGCAGGTGTTGGGGGGGGGGGGTTGGGACGGGAAACAGTGGGGGTGAGTAAGGTGTTGTAGGAAGGAGAGGTGGAGTGTATGGCAGATGTATATGCCAGAAGGAGTGCGTGCAACGACACGAAGGAAAATGAGTACAGGATGACGCACACACACACACACACACACACACACACACACACACACACACACACACACACACACACACACACACACACACACACACAAGCACAACCTCCTCTCCCCTCCCCTTTCCCTCCCCTTTCCCACCCTCCCCCAACACATACAACAACACATTCACGCACCCTAAAGTCGTGCAAGGTGCTGTCTGCGTTGTGGAATTCGCTGATGACTTCGACGGCGGTGACGGGCCCAATGCCAGCAACGCCAGGGGTGTAGTCGCTGCCCAGCAGGTAGGCAAGGTCGATGAGCGAGGACCGGTCCAGGCCAGCAAGGTTCTCAAGGTCGTCAGCGAGATACAGCTGCATGTCCTTCTTCTGCGAGCACACGTGGCGGTACACGCGGCGACCGCCAAACAGGAACACATCGCTGTCATCCGTGATCACGCCAGACACCAGCCCTTGCTGCTCCAACTGCGCGCACTGCGACTCTGCCTCCTGCGGGGCGATGACGTAAGGGCAGCCAAACAGCCGCAGCAGATGCTGCACATCCACAATCATGTCTGTCGTCACGTCGCCAACAGCACTCGCTGCCCGCTTTGCCGCCCGCTGTAGCGTCTTCGCCTGCACACGCAAGGCATACTGGGCCTGCCGTCGGGAGGTTGTGTATGTGTTTGTGTGTGTGCATGTGTGTGTGTGCATGTGTGTGTGTGGGGGGGGGGGGGTGCAAGTGTGTGTGTGAGCAAGTGTGTGAGCATGTGTGTGTGTGAGCAAGTGTGTGAGCATGTGTGTGTGTGAGCAAGTGTGTGAGCATGTGTGTGTGAGCAAAAGTGTGCGTGTGTTTGCTGCAGATCATGTTACAAAACGCACTGTCATACAACCCACCCCGCTCCTTCGTTCGTACCCGTTGCGCTGCGTCCTTGCTGTTCATTGCTGCCTCCACGGTGACGCCTGGGATCAGCTCCGCTGTCAAACCATCGCCACCACGACCACGACCACGACTGCTGTCGCCACTTGCAGCTGCCCCGCCCTCTTTCCTCTCCTCCTTCTCCTCCTCCTCCTCCTTCTCCTCATCTTGCTGCTGCTGCTGCTGCTGTTGCTGCTGTTGGTGTTGGTGGTGTTGTGTTGGCGTCGCTTCCTGTGCACGTGTCTGTGTATCCGCGTCCGTGTCCATCGTTGTTCCATCAGCTGTCGTCGTCTTCATCACGGACGGTGTTGGTGACGGCAGCGGCAAGGCATCCTCCTGATCCAGCAACACAATCGGACCTTCATCGCCATCACCATCACTCTCATCGTTGTTGTCGTGGATGATGGTGTCGACGCGACCATCAACAACATCACCTGCAGTGTCCATTCTCGTATCCACCACCACCTCGGCTTCTGCTGCTGCTGCTGTCTCATGTTGATGACCTGACACCGCCTTGCTCTGATGAAGTTGTTGTCGCTCTTGTTGCAGTTGTTCGTCTGTTTCCTCATCCCCGCCTTGCTGCTGCTGTTGCTGTTGCTGCTGTTGTTGTTGCTGCTGTTGCTGCTGTTGTTGTTCCTTCTCATTCCTTTCCTCGTGTGTTTCCGCCGATGGCGTCACTGGCAGCGACATATGCAACTTCTGATCGTTCCTCAAGTGAGATGCCCGTTGCTGCAGCAGTGCATCTTCTTCCTCTTCTTCCTCCTCCTCTTCTTCTTCCTCTTCCTCATCCAACACGACAACCTCCTCCTCCTCCTTCTCCTCGGTCTGCTCATCATCTTCGTCGTCGTCGTCGTCGTCCAGCACCACCACAACATCATCATCATCACCACCACCACCACCACCACCACCACTACAACTACTACTACCATCACGCCTTTCCCTTCCCCGGTTTCGGCTCGTCACGATTGCGCCTACACGCGCACGCTGCACCCTCTCCCTCATCCGGCGAACACGTCTCCCCTTCCTCTGCACTTGCAAGTGCTGCTGCTGCTGCTGTTGCTGCTGCTGCTGCTGCTGTTTGTTCGCCTTCCCTGCTGCACCACGCTTGCTGTCCTTGCCACTCCGCTGCTTCACACCGTCACCACCATCACCTCCATCGCCATCATCACCATCGCCCTGCACCCGTCGTCTTGGTCGCCCGCGGTGTTTGGGGCCTCTCGACGCGACTGTGACGCCACGACCACGACGACCGCCAGCGTTGTCTTGGTCATCACCCTCATCGTCACTGCTGTCACTGCTGGTGCTGTCGTCATCGCTGCTGTCAGACCTCAGCACGCTCCCTTTCAGCGATGGGCCGGCACCAACACTCCCTGCTGTTGCTGTTGGTGCTGCTGCTGGTGTGCGTGTGATGGTCGCAGCAGCAGCAGCTGTTGTAGTTGTTGCTGGTTTCTTCTCGACCTTCATGGGGCGAGGTGTTGTCACCGCTGCTGCCGCTGCTGACAACAGTGGTTGATCCCAGCGCACACGCGGCGCAGCTGTTGTTGTTGTTGTAGCTGTTGTTGTTGTAGCTGTTGTTGCTGCAGCTGTTGGCACGTGAGTTGTGCCAGACGAAGACGACCATGATGACGTGACACCTGCCTGTACAGCACGTCTGGTGATACCAGCAGCTGCAGCGGGAGGGGCTGCTGGTGCACGCGTTTGCCGTGTTGCGTTTGCTGTCTTTGCTGCGCCTGTCTTTGCTGCGCCTGTCTTCGCTGCGCCTGCTGTTGATCCTGTTGTTGTTGCAGTTCCCACTGTGGCTGCTGCTGATGCATCCTTGTCTGTGTCGCCAGCACCAGCCGCTCCAAGTCCACCATCACCATCACCACTTGATGCTGCAAAGGCATCTGGTGTTGCTGATGAGAGGATGGCTGATTGGTCCGTGTCGATGCTGGCAAAGAAATCCGGAACAACAACCTTGTGATCATGGCGGTGGTGGTGGGTCTGTCGAAGCGTATGTCGTTGAGTGCCACCCGCACGCATGGCGTCGCTGGGTTTTGCATTCCCTCTGTCATCCGTAGTCACACTGGACGCTACACTTGACCGTTTGGTGGTGGTGGTGTTCTTGTTCCCGCCACACACCCCTTGCTTATTCGCTGCTGCTGCTGCTGCCAGTGCAGACGGTGTGCTGGCACCACGCTTGTCTGCATCACATTCATCCTTCACGTTGGCTGCATCAAATGCCTCATCCAACCAGTCCGCATCAAGGGCCTCCACATCGCTCTCTCCCTCATCATCATCGTCGTCATCATCATCATCATGGTTGTGCACGCCGAGTTCGCGCGTGTGCTCCTGTGCTGCCAACTTTTCTCCGAGCGTCTGAGCTGTTGCGCCGCTGCGGGGACGAGCAGTCTCCACGTCACTACAGTCCATAGGGAGGTGTGTGTGTGAGTGTGTGTGTGTGTGTATGTGTGTGTGTGTGTGTGTGTGTGTGTGTGTGTGCGTACATAGGCATGCACATGTGCATGCTATTGCAAGGGAACAGAAATCACACCCCACCATCGCAACCGGCACGTGCGAACACAACACGACTCACGGTCGCTTGAGCGTGTACACGGCGGTGTCCTCCGAGACGATGCGCATGGCTGGGGTCCCGTCAATGCTGTTCGCCTCCAGCAGCTGCTGCCTGATCTCATCCAGTCGACGTGTCAGCTGGTCTCGCTTCATCAGTTTGGACAGCTGCCCAGTCGAAAAGGAGTCACTATCGCCCCGCCCCAGCCGCTGCTTGCCGCCATGACCACCACCGCCGCCACCACGACCACCACCGCCGCCATGATCACCGCCGCCACCGCCACCACGGCGCCAGCTGCTCTTGAGTCTCTCGCGCGCCTCCAAGATGATGTGGTACTGCTCTTCAAGGGACAGGCGGTCAAATGCTGGCGTGAACACGCGAGCGCGGGTCATGTCGATGTACGGGTCAATTGTGTCATCGCCACGCACGTCCGGGGGCTCCAGCTGCCGCTGTGCCTCAATCAACCGCCCAATGTCCTCCAGAGATATCATGTCCACACCGTCATCCTCATCCGAGCTGCTCGCGCCCTCACTCTCTTCTTCATCGCTGCCACCATCATCATCGTCGTCGTCGTCATCATCATCATGAATGACCTCCACCTCACCCTCGTCGTGCGCAGGTGCATGTACAAGAGTTGATTCGTCGCGCGCTTGCTTGCTCGCATCATGTGCACTCGCCGCCTTGTTGGCAAGCTGGAAAGGGGGATGAGTGTGCGCGTGAGTGTGTATGTGCGTATGTGTGTACGTGTGCGAGTGTGTGTGTGTGTGCGTGTGTATGTGTTGGTGTGTGTGTGTGTGTGTGCGAGAGTGTGTGTGTGCACGAGTGTGTACGTGCATGTAATGTAAAGCTGAGGGAGGCGAGGAAGGTGGTGCAAGGGCAACAACAATGAGGCACGCGTCGTCAACACATCACGCACCGACTGCTTGATGGTGTTGAGAAGAAGCTGTTGCTGGCGAGCACGCAAAGACTGGGCGCCCTCCGTCTGCCGTTTGCTGCGCTCGGCCTAGAGACACAAAGTGTGAGTTTGTTTGTGAACATGCGCATGTGCACGTGACGGTGAGACGAGCGATGCTGTAGCTGCACTGACAATAGATGCATTCGCAACACCGGTCGCAACCGAGAACATGCACACACACACACACGCACGCACACACACACACAATCACACACACGCACTCAAACACACACACACACACTCAATCATGCTCACACGCACGCACGCACACACAGAGAGAGACGTCACACAAACACGCACGGACTCGTAAACTAACTCACACGTTGTTGTCACGCTCTCTCAGTTACACACACGCACTCAATCACACACACGCACTCAATCACACACACACACACACACACACCCACACTCCTACACACTCGCTACTCACAATGGTCTGTTTCTTGATGAGCGGGGCACCGCCGTCAAAGACAAAGACGGGTTTGATGCGGTGGTGAATGAGACGGCAGATGCGCGCAAGCATGGCGTGGATATGCGCGTTGCGCACCAGCTCGCCCTTGTCGTTGCGCATGGCCCGCACAATCTGGTGCAGCCAGATGCTGGCGTCCACAGCCAGCACCTGCCCTTCCAAGTCGTCCATTTGCACGGGGCGACCCACCACCTCCAGCAACTGCCACAAGCCCTTCACTCCCATCTTCCCACACCTTCACCACTGCCGACGAGCAAGGCGCCTGCTGAGCGTGAGCGTGAGCGTGAGGTCGGGTGTCGAGTTAAGCGGAGGGAAACGTTTGCTGCTTCGCTTGGTTTGGCGTTGCTGGCTGCTTTTGTTTGCTGTGTCCGCCAAACAAGTTCAAGTCGGGAAAAATATATGAAGATGTTCGCCATTAATCTGCAAACCGTGTATTTTGGGCAGCCAAACAAACAAACACCGCAAGCAGTTGGTCGCTGTCAGACGACCACAACAACCGCCCTCCACCAACCCAACAAGTCCAAGTTCACTTGCGCCAAAGTGACAGTTTCCAAGAGCACACACACCGCGCCCTCCGAGGTCACACCGCCATGTCACTTCACAAGAATGGAGATGCCGCAGGGCGGCAGGCACAGCAACGGCAGCAGCAGCAGCAGCTGTTGCGCGCGAGCGACTTGACGCTGAGCAGCACCGAGCTCATCACGGTCATGGAACGTGTCAAGCAAGGCAACCTTTCCGTGGATGATGCCATTGCAGAGGTGGGCTGCGTTTGTCTGTCTGTCTGTGTGTGGATGGTTGTCTGAGAGAGAGAGTGTGTGTGTGTGTGTGTGTGGGTGTGGGTGTGGGTGTCTGTGTGTGGGTGTCTGTGTGTGGGTGTGTGTGGATGAGTGTCTGTGTGTGAGTGTGTGTGTGTCTCTGTCTATCTGCGTCTGTATGTGCGTATGCGTGTGTGCGTCCGTGCCTGTTTGTCTGTGTCTGTGGGTACCTTGTTTTGCAGGTCTGAATATGCAGTCATGACACTCAACGCGTGCTATCCAACAATGCATCCACTCCACTCACACCATGCTTTCCCTTCCTCTGACCCTCCTCCCCTCCCCTTTGCCTGTAGGTGCTGGCCGTTGACAGCGAACGCGCGACATCTGGCGCTGACAGCACCACGCCGACACATGAGCCTGCGCGAACGTTCAGCGCGCATGCACCCGATGTCCAGCACTCAACTGCTGCATCGTCTGCTTTGGCATCAAAGCCTCGATCGCCACCAACAGCAACAGCGACAATGGCGCCGCACCAACTGCAACAACAACAGCAACCCGAACACCCGTTACAGCAGCAGCAGCAGCCGCCGCCGCCGCCGCCACCACCTTCTTCGGCATCCTCAACTTCACACCACAAGCGACATCGACGGGACAAGAGCGGCGGTGGTGGCGGCAGTATGGCTGAACTGTCAAACGAGGACCAAATACAGCTTATGAACTCCGTCCGTGACGGACGCATCAGCGTCGAACAGGTTGGCACATTGTGTGTGTGTGTGTGTCTGTGTGTCTGCGCGTGTGATTGTGTGTGCCTGCGCTTGTGATTGTGTGTGTGTGTGTGTGATTGTGTGTCTGTCTGTGATTGTGTGTGTGTCTGTGTCTGTCTATCTGTGTGTGTGTGTGTCTGTCTGTCTGTCTTTGTTTGTCTGTCTGTGTCTGTGTGTACATGTATGTGCATATCTGTCTCCCCTCTCCTTTCCGCTTGTTCTGCAGCCTGTGTTCCCAGTGTCTTTCTGCATTCTGTATGACTGGCTGTTCAGCGACGAACACTCTCGTTTTGGGTGCCGCACCTCACGCCAACACCTCACGCCAACACCATCGCTCCCCTCTTCGCCTTGTTCACAGGCGCTGCGGCTGGTGGAGGCGAGAGAAGCAAGAGCAGCAGCGCTGAAGCACGGGTCGGCAAAGCTGCCGGCATCATCATCGCTGTCGTCGTCGTCGTCTGCTGTGTCGTCGTCGTCGCAACCATTCCCAGCCGCCTCGGCATCTTCAGCGTCGCAGCCCAATGCCACCTCAACCTCAGCCACGCACGCCATGCTGTCGGCCCTATTTGGCTCCAGCGACAACCCGTCAAGACTGGCATCATCCTCGTCATCGCTACCATCATCGTCATCATCATCATCATCATCATCATCATCGTCGGCATTGCTGCGGTCACACATCACGACGTTGCCCCTTCGCCCCATCTCCCAGTGCGACTTCCAAGACCTCCAGCTCAAGCACGCGCTGGCTGAGGCGGGCGCAGACGTGGACGTACACGCAGCAGCGGCGGCGATGCTGGCGGGGACAGGGAATAGCAGCAGTAACAGCAACAGCGCACACACGCGGCTGCGACACACGGTGGCCGTGCGGCACGTACAGGTGGCTTCGAGCGGCGTCGGTGCTCGTGGGGAGGGGGGCGCGACTGGCAGGGATCGTGGTGGTTCTGGTAATGACGATGATGGTGGTGATGGTGATGACGATACTGAGCACGGTGGTAGCAGTGGTGATGGTGATGATCGAAGTGCTGATAGAGGTAGCAGTGGTGATGGTGATGATCGAAGTGCTGATAGAGGTAGCGGTGAGACTCATGCTGCGATTGCTGGCACATTGCGTTCAGCTGAGGTAGACGTGTCGTCCGCAGCCCCCACCAGCAGCAGCAAGCCATCATCACTTGCAATGGACGATGCAACAACCACGACAACCACGACAACCACGAGAGCAGCAGTGTCACCAGCATCAACAACAGTGGCAGCATCAGTGTCAAAGCCCCGCGCCCCAAAACCGCTGCCAAAGCCGCGACGATCAAGGGGAACCAGCAGCAGCAGTGGTGGTGATGGTGGTGATGGTGATGGTGGTGGTGATGATGGTGGTGAGTATATCGAAGTGGAGAGTGGAGCAGAAGGTGCTGACGACAACGATGATGACACTGATCGCAATGTTGGCGATGAAGGGAGCGAAGGGGGTGCGACAACAGCGACGATTGGTGCTATCGATGATGATGGTGGTGGTGGTGGTGGTGTTATCGATGACGATGGTGATGGTGGTGATCATGGTGATGGTGGTGATCATGGTGATGAAGGTGGCAGGCGAGCTGACAATGACTCTGTTACCAATGCAGCCAGCACAGCCGCGGCCTCCAAGCTCGGGGAATCAGCTGTGCTTCGAGATCTCTCCACACTGCTGTATCTGTACCAGAATCAGCCTGGCATGGTCGTGCCTGAGCCGCAAGCGCAAATCTCCAATGCCAATGGCGGCGGCGGTGGTGATGAGGGCCGTGACGTCCCGAAACGTGTCACTCTCGTTCTTGAAAGCCAACAATCCATCCGAAAGGTGTGTGTGTGTGTGTGTGTGTGTGTGTGTGTGTGTGTGTGTGTGTGTGTGTGTGTGTGTGTGGTGGAATGTGTACTCGATGGTTCCCCACCACAGCTCAGCTCACCATCCATACTCACCACCACATCACCACCGCCCTGTGCTCAGGTCGTTCCACTGCCGGATACACTGGACGCGCTGCTCGATGCCGCCAGCAGCGCGTGCGGATGTGTTGCGCAGTCCCTCCGCTTCCACCGCGATGGGGCACAGGTCGAGTCCATCGCCGTCGTCAGGTCAGGAGAGCACTGCATTGTGTGTACGCGCTGCATGTAGGCAGACGTTGTGTGCACTGTGTGTGTGTGTTGTGTGTACTGTGTGTGTGTGCACTGTGTGTGTGTTGTGTGTACTGTGTGTGTGTGTGTGTGTGTGTTGTGTGCACTCTGTGTGTGTGTGCACTGTGTGTGTGTGTGTGTCACTGTGTGTGTGTGTGTGTGTGTGTGTTCTGCCTTACTCACGCAAAAACCGTACCCTCTCCTCTTCGTTTGTGCCCCCCCCCCATCGTCATCATCATCACCATCAGAGATGGCGATGTGCTGCTCGTCTCGGATTCCGCCCACGTCCGCCCAACTTGCTGCCGGTGAGCTACGCCGTGGTGTGTGTGTGTGTGTGTGTGTGTGTGTGTGTGTGTGTGTCTGTGTGTGTGTCTGTGTGTGTGTGTCTGTGTCGTGTGTCGTGTGTGTGTGTGTGTGTGTGTGTGTGTGTGTGTGTGTGAGGTTGGTACAGGTTCGAAACGTCACCGCCCTGCAATTCTCCCATGCCCATTGCGCATCTCGTACATGTGTTTCGTGCCAGCGCTGCATCGTTGACGTCATTGCCCGTTTCTTCCACCGGTGACTGCACGTGCAACCACCTCGCGCCAACGGCCACAGAGGGTCAGTGACCTGTCTGTGTGTGTGTGTGTGTGTGTGTGTGTGTGTGTGTGTGTGTGTGTGTGTGTCTGTGTCTGTGTGTGTCTGTGTCTGTGTCTGTGTGTCTGTGTGTCTGTGTCTGTGTGTCTGTGTGTCTGTGTGTCTGTGTGTCTGTGTGTGTGTGTCTGTGTGTATGTGTGTGATTGCATGCGTACATGTATGTGAGTGTGCTTGTCTGCAGACAGCGTGCATTTCGCTAGAGCATGTAACCAAGCGTCAATGTTGCTGCTTGGTTCTCAGATTCGGACGCGTCTGACTGGATCAAACTGAACGTCGGTGGAACAATCTTCCGCACAACACGCGGGACACTCACGCGGGACGAGGAATCCATGCTTGCCCTCATGTTCACATCAAAGGACTGGAACAGGTAACAGTGTGTGTGTGTGTGTGTGTGCGTGTGTGTGTATGTGTGTTTGACAAGTGGATGAACATCTTGGGCGCTCACATATCTTCACTCAACTCACCCATACACTCCTCCTTCAACCCTATTCCGTGCTTCCACTTGCCACACCACAACACACAAACACACAATGCACACAATGCACACAATGCACTCAACACACTCAACACACTCAACACACACCATGCACTCAACACACACAATGCACTCAACACACACAACACATACAACACACTCAACACACACAATGCACTCAACACACACAACACACTCAACACACTCAACACACACAATGAACACAATGCACACAATGCACACTGCTCGCCCGGCAGTGCTGTCGATGAGAGCGGGGCGTATCTGATTGATCGCAACCCGCGCTACTTTGAGCCGCTGCTCGGATATCTCCGCGACCGGACCATCATCCTCGACCCAGGCATCAGCGCACGCGGTAGGGGGGGGGGGGTGTGTCTGTGTCTGTGTGTCTATGTCTGTGTGTCTATGTCTTTGTGTGTGTCTGTGTGTATGTGTGTGTATGTGTGGGTCTGTGGGTCTGTGTGTATGTGTCTTCTTTGTGTGGGTCTATGTGCGTGTTTGCCTGTCTCCCTGCACCTGCCCCTTGCCGACATACCCGTCTCTGTGTGTGTACATTCTCCGTTGATATCGCATCATCCCTCCCCGCACCTCACTGTTTCCATGCCCCCTTCTACCCATGCACGCGTGGACAGGTGTGCTCGCTGAGGCGCACTTCTTTGGGCTGTGGGGCGCCATTGAGCTGTTGGAGCCACTAGCCGAGCGAGAGGTGTGTCGTGCTGCAACATGGCAGAACCGCGGCCTTGGTGTCATGGTGAATGGCGGTGGTCAATCGGGTGGTGTGCGTGGTGCCGCTGATGTATTATGGATGTTTGTTGCGCTGATGGGATGATATCTGTTACGTCGTGCCGTGCGACACTCACCTGCACCGCACATGTCCATCACGTCATGCGCGCAGGCGAATCAGCTCCTGCCCAACCCTCCACTGTGCCGAGCAGATATGGTGGGCAACCCCTCCAAGCTGCAACCACCCGCATGCGCATGTTACGCACATGTGTGCACAATCACACTCACACACGCACACACGCACACACACACACATACACACATACACACAAAAGTGCACAGTCTCACCCACGTGCGCGCTCCCATTCACTCACTCCCCTGTGCTCACGCTCACACTCCGTCACGCCATGTCTCGCATCTCCAGATTAAGATGCTGATGACAACTTCAGCCACTGCTGCACTTCGGTGTCAGGGCCTCAACTTTGAGCGCGCCGATCTCTCATGCGTGAGTCTGTGTGTGTGTGTGTGTGTGTGTGTGCGAGTGTGTGTGTGTGTGTGTGTGTGTGTGTTGTATGCCCTTCTACCCTTCTCCGTTCTGCTGTCCTTCTCTTCTTGTGTCCTTCCTCCGTCTTCCCTCCTGCCTTGTTCGCAACCGAGCTTGCACCCATCACACCGTGCCACAACACCTGCTCCACCCCCATCATCATCCACCTCCTCATGTTACTATAACGACTGTCCACGATGCACCAGCTTGATCTGCGACACATCAACTTCAAGATGGCCAACCTCCAGCACTGCAATCTCACAAACTGCAATCTCGAACACTGCAACTTCGAAGGCGCATCCTTACAGGTAAAACAACACGTGATTGCGTGTGCGTGTGCGTGATTGCGTGTGCGTGTATGTGTGTGTGTGTATGCGTGCGTGCGTGTGTGTGTGTGTGTGTGTGTGTGTGTGTGTGTGTGTGTGCGTGTATGTGTGTGTGTGTGTGTGTGCTTGATCGCCCTGTAATGAAAGCAACCCTGCTTGACACCCGCAACACCATATTTTCACTGACGTTCATCCTTTGCAACAGCACGCTGTTCTCGATCGCTCCAATTTGATGGGATGTGTTCTGAGCCGCGCAAAACTCGACTTTGCTTCCGTTCGCAACTGCAACCTCCACGACCCATCACACTACAGTCACGCTGTGCTCGAGGTGATACGTTGGGTCTGTGTCTGTGTGTGTGTGTGTGTGTCTGTCTGTCTGTCTGTCTGTGTATGTATGCGTGTGTGCGCGCGCCTGCGTGTGTGTGTGTGTGGGTGGGTGGGTGGGTGGGTGGGTGTGTCTGTCTGTCTGTCTGTCTGTCTGTCTGTCTGTCTGTCTGTCTGTCTGTCTGTCTGTCTGTCTGTCTGTCTGTCTGTCTGTGTGTGTATCAGCGCTTCCATTTCTTCGAGTGGTCTGGTGGATGTGCAGTCGCTTAGCCTGCTCACGTCGTGTTCTTTTGCCGGCACGTTCTATGTATGCCTCAGGGTGCATCGTGTCGCAGTGTGGACTTTGAGGACTCGAATCTCAGCTGTGTGAACATGCGCGTGGCCTGTCTCAAGCGTGCAGTTCTTCGACACTGCAACCTCAGGTGTGATGGATGGCGCAAGCAGCGACATCTTACCTTGCAAACTGCTTGCTTGACACACCCGCAATGTACACCCACGTTCACTCACTCACTCAGTCACTCACTCACACTCACGCACACACACTCACTCACTCACTCAGTCACTCACTCACACTCACTCACTCACACTCACTCACACACACACACACACACACTTACTCACACACACACACTCACTCACTCACTCACTCACTCACTCACTCACTCACTCACCCACACACACTCTCTCACTCACTCACTCACTCACCCACACACACACTCTCTCTCACTCACTCACTCACTCGCACACTCACACACTCACTCACTCTCACCCACACACGCTCACACACACACTCACTCACACTCACTCACACTCACTCACACTCACACACTCACTCACTCACTCACACACTCTCTCACTCACACCTCACGTGCACGCTCATGCATATCAGGTGCTCGAATATGGCCGGGACGGACCTTGGCGAGTCTGATCTCTCGGGCTGCAACCTGCAGGGCGCTAACCTGCGTGGTGCAAACACCATGCGTGCAACCTTCCATCGCCCCTACCGCCTGAACCAGAGCAGCCCGGCTTAATGGTGGCGGTGGTGGTGGTGGTGTGGTTTGCGGAAGGTCCCCCAAGTTGTTCCGGTTTGTGTTTAACATATGCACTGGAGGAAATGTATTGACGTGAGTAAGGAATAACACAACATCAACGAGCGCTGTGGCATCACCCCCAAGTTGTTCAACCGTTGTGAGGGAATGTAGAAAGGCAACGCACAACGAACAATGAACAGCGAGCATCCACAACAACAAAAGCAACAACCCATCAAACAATTCTAAGCAAAGTGGTGGTCCTTGAGTTCTCCAAACGACGGGCGCTCACGCGGGTCTTGCGCCATGCACTTGTACGTCAGCGACTGGAACCACTCGGGGATGGCTGTAGGGTAGGGGTGTGTGTGTGTGTGAGTGGGGAGAAACGATGCGTCAGCAACCAACCCAGGCACATCACACACACACACACACACACCTGCACACACACACACACACACACACACACACACACACACACACACACACACACACACACACACACACCTGCACACACACACACACACACACATGCACACATGCACACAACTCACCATCTTGTTCACCATCCTCGAACCGAAGCCGCTTCCCATCTGCCATTAAGTTGCTGATGGTGGCGAGGATCGGGCCCCGATACCCGCTCCCCTTCTCCTGCTCAATCAAGTCCGGCACACGCTGGGTCGTGACCTCCCACATCAGCACCCCAAAGCTGAAGATGTCGGCTTCAAAGCTGTACTTGTCGCCCGTCAATGCCTCTGGTGCCATGTACAGCGGCGTGCCCACGCCAGCCGTCAGCGTCATGCTCGTCATCGTCTGCAGTCCAGCTTGCGGGCTGTATTGCGGATCATCAACATCATGGGTGGATGACAGGCGGGTGCGCTGCTTGTGCTGGTTCCTGTCACGCGTGAAGCACTGGCGAATGGATCCGAAATCCGTGATCTTCGCGCGAAGGGACGACGAAACCAGCACGTTGCCGCTCTTCAGGTCTCTGTTTGGGTGGTGTTGATGAGGGGGGTGAGGCTTGGATGGGCAATGAGCAACAAGCACGTGCCTGCATGCAAAAACACACAAACTTACATACACACACATGCACACACACACACACACACACAAACGCACCGGTGCATCTGGTCGAGGCTGTGGATGAAGGCCATCCCACTGGCAACATCACGCAGTAGTCGCAGCTTCAAGTCCCACACACTATTCACATCATCACCGACACTGCCGTTGCTGCTTTTCTCAACATCCTTGTTCCTCACCTCCCTCAACACCTGTTCCATATCCTTCCCCAACAAGTCTTTCAGTGACCCCAGAGCAACAAACTCCAGCACCAGGAACGGGCTGCCGTTGGGATCCGTGCCCGCGCCAAAGAACCGCACCACATTCGGATGCCGTGTCCGCTGCAGAAACTCCACCTCCTTCTCAAACTCAAGCACCGTGCTCTCGTCAAACATCATCACCCCTTGCTGCAGCACTTTCACTGCCACTGTCACCGTGTCCCACTCTGCCTTGAACACCACGCCAAACGCACCCGCAGCCACACGCTTGATCATCCTCAGCTCATCGTACTCAATCTCCCACGCCTTCTTCAGCGCCATCACCTCCTCGTCCCGTTCCACAAGCAGTTGCTCCTGCAGGCCGATGCGCTTGGTCAGGCCACGGTAGCGGCGTGACAGCCACGCCATGAGCAAGCCAAGGGCAAGGCCGCCAATGACAGAGCCAGCAGCAATGCCAGCAACATCGGGGTTGGCCCCCACGCACCGCCCAGTGGCAGCCGCCTTGAAGCCACGCGCGCATGTGCAGTGGAAGGAGAACACAACGTGTGGTGTCAACGTGGAGAGGTCGCGTAGTGGTCGCAAGTCCTGATTTGACAGCTGAAGCGCGCATTCAATGGGAGCATTGGTCAGCTGTAGAATGGGAGGAATGGGGCGGTTTGGTATGACAACGAGGTCAGCTGTTCGAAATTCCGCGTCCGAAAGGGCAACTCTTCTCTCTGCAACACGGTTGATCTCAGCCAGCTGGCCCAACCACGTGTTGCCAGAAAGGTCCAGCACATCCACTTCATTCACACAGTTTCGCATCATGGTTGCAGCATGTTGCGTGTCAGCAAGCCCAGCTAAGTTTCGGGCGAAAAGGACCCGACGTCCCCATCGCGTACACAGCGCAGCAGTTGGTGGAAACCGGGTGTTGCTGATGTCCAGGATGTCGATTGGAGGCGCGTCGATGGAGGCCAGTTGCCAGCAGCCTGATGCGTTGAGTTCACGCAGCGGGTTGTGGACAGTGAGAGATTGGAGATACTTGTTGTTAGTCAAAACAAGCGTCTCGAACGTCTTCCCAGGACACAGCTCGATGGTTCTATAGTCCGTGCTGACAATGCGGAGCTCACGTACGTCGCGTGCAAGCAGTTTGCACAATGCACTGATTGGAAGCGTGTCAATCGTGGCGCCCGACCAACCCACGTGCAGCACATGGAGGTTGAGGGTCGGAAGCCGCTCGATTAACGGCACCACGGCACTGATGTCCACGTTTTCAATCCTCAGTGCTGACAGCGGCGCTACGCTGGCGATGTTCGTTTCGGTCAGTACTGCCCTTGATTTTGCTTGCTCAGATGCATCGAGCTCCAGAACCACTAGGTTGGAAAGGGCAAGAAATGCGGCCAGGTTGATGTGGTTGACATGATGGCCCTGCAGTCGGAATGTGTGCAGTGCAGGCGTCATGCTGATGTCTGGCAGCTCCTCCACCGGATTGCCGCTCATGGACACTTGCCAGAGGGACGGGGCTGTGGTGGAAAGGTTCAAGCTCGTAATCTGGTTATCATCCAAGTCAAGGGCGCCCAAAGATGGCAGGGGAGCAGCCCCAAGAACGTTGTCGATGGAGCGCAGGGCGTTGTTGGCAAACGAAATGTGTTCCAGCGAGTTGCTGTTGATAAAAAGGTTTGAGGGAAGGGCGGTCAGGCGATTGTCTTTGCAGAAGAAAGAAATGAGACGCGTGTTGCACTGAAGGAGGCCATTAGGTAAAGAACGAAGCTGGTTGTCGAATAGGTCCAACATTCTCAGTGCCTTCAGGTCACGGAACACGCCCCGTGGTAGCGATGTCAGTCGGTTGCTGAAGAGCAACAGCCGCTCCAATACCGACAGGCCAGAAAAGATGGCCTCTGGAAGGGATGTGATCAAATTACCGGACAATGCCAATAAGTTCAGGCGGGTCGAGTTCCCAAACAATGTCGGTGGCAAGCTGGTGAGGAGCGTGTTTTCAAGGACAAGGGTCTCAAGCGCTGTGAGGGCGGAGAATACGCCCGGTCGCAGCCTCCTGATTGGATTCCTGTGAAGGTGCAATGTTGTAAGGCGCGAAAGCCGGTGCAGCAGCCCAGAAGGGAGAGTGCTGATATCGTTGTTGCCCATAAACAACTGGCGCAACTGTGTGAGGTCCTGGAACGCGCCTGATTCAACATGGCAAATGATGTTCTGGGCCAGGCCCAACTGCTGTAAGGATGCCAGCCCTGTCAAGTCGTCGCGAGACACGTGGCCGATGCGGTTTTGGTCCACGCTGAGGAGCGTCAGGGATGCCATGGCGGATAGTTCTGGGACGTTTGTCAACGAGCAATTCTCCACCCGGAACGTGGTGATGCCTTGTCCGTGAAGAAACCCTACCACAGCAACCTCACGCAGCAGCACGCTGTTGCGGATCCAGATTGTGCCGAGGCGAGACATAGGGTTGAGCACGCTCAGCTCAAAGGTGGCAAACTGAACGCCTTCACAGAATACCGTTGTGCACGCCGTCCAGTTGCCATTGCCCAGGATCCACTGGACAGCAGCGTGTTCAACATGGCCACTGAGCGTCAACGCGCGAACTGAGGGAGAAATTCTGAGGAGCGTGCTCGCGTCGGTACTGTCATTCACACGAGCGGGATCGCTCTCGAATAGAGTCAGAACGAGGCTTTCCCCGTTTGCGCCGGGGCACGAGCCATCGATCACACTCTGCAGAGTGCACTGGCCCGCCTGCACGACTGGCTCATCATTTCGGCGCACACGCGCACGGCGCCGCTGTGGAGGTGGAGTTGAGTGAAGCGCTGCGGGGTTGCTCTTCTTGCTGAGATTGGTTTCAGGCAAGAGCACAGCCGTTTCCTCTGGGTGAGAGCTTTGCGCTTGTGTGCTGAGTGTGCGCGCTCTTTCCGCCTGACTGCACCCAAAGGCGGCCATCATGCGCTGGATCGATGACAGATCAACCGTGACCACTGCACCTGCTTCTGGTGTCTTCTTCCCATGCGTTCGGTTGTGAGCAGTGCCATTGTTGCTGTTGTTGCGTCGATCTGCTGAACGTACGGTGTCATGCTGTCTGTCTGCAATGCTTGTACATGGCACGTCGTGCTGGTGTAGGGTGGTTTGAATGTGTTGTAGCGTGGTGTCCACTTCTTTGCACAGTGCGACCGCCTGAGGAGGAGAGCATCGTGCAAACCGACGGCTGAATGTGAGAACAAGGCCACGACGAAGCAAGAAACTAATGTAAACACAGAGACCAGCACGACAGAAGGGCATACCATGGCCGTGAGGCTGTGGAAAACAAAGTACGGCAACAACCGAACGACACACAACAGCAACACGATCACACCCTCCTCATGACTTCATGACCGATGGTGCACCTGTGCACGGACATTCTACACCATTGCACACAGCCGCATGCATACCTCAGTGTCGCTGAGGACCGTGCTGTTGGTTACACACACTTTTGCCACCACCAGCAAGGGCAAAGCCAACAGCAACAGCTTTTGCAGCCTCCAGAAACCCAAGACAGCGGGGGATTGTGACATTCTCTTTGCTTCTTTAGCTTCTTTGCTTTGAGCGACAAGAGAAGAACAGCAGGAGAGGGAACAGCAGCAACACGAGTATCCAACCAGCGCACCGCAATGCTCCGTCTGTGTTTTCATTGAGGAGAATTACTGTGCATCGTTTATGATTTTCGTCAAGACAGGACTTCACAACTCTTTGTGTGGTGGTGTGTTTTGACTGCTGCCAGCAGCAGCCTTCGGGGACTGTTGATCAAATGATGATGATGATGATGATGACGACGACGAGGAGGAGGAGGACGAGGCGTGATTGTGTTGGAAGTGTTTCCCAAGCAGCGAGGCAGGTGGCTTGGTTGTGTGGCGGTGGCCATGCTCGCCAATCAGCACTTCGTGATGGCGCCACATCTCGGTCGTATCCAGCAACCGATCCTGTTCAGTGGGAGGGGACGTGTGCGTGCATGTGTGAATGTTGTGTGTGTGTGTGTGTGTGTGTGTGTGTGTGTGTGTGTGTGTGAATGGTGTGTGTGTGAGGCGTGTGTGTGTGTGTGTGTGTGTGTGTGTGTGTGTGTGTGTGTGTGTGTGTGTGTGTGTGTGTGTGTGTGTGTGTGTGTGTGTGTGTGTGTGTGTGTGTGTGTGCAAGGGGGTACATGAAGCGGTCCTGACATGTGGAGCCAACACGTACGCGTGAACACGGCTGCACCTTATCAGCTCGCTGGAAACGCGCCCTTGCCACATCCTCCGACAACCCGTACTTTGGCGCCACCTGGGTGAGAACGATGGGACAATGAAGGGACAGGCGTCAGCAGCGAGAGTGTCCAGTTGGCTGGTGCATTCATGCACACAAACACACACACATGCACACACAAACACACATGCACACACAAACACACATGCACACACAAACACACATGCACACAAACACACACGCACACACACACACACACGCAAACAAACGAACCTTTGCCACTTCCTCCCATGACAGGAGACCGTCGTCGTCCGTGTCCGTTTCCAGCACGTGATACACTGCATCCAACTGGAGAGCCGCAAGGACAGGGCGCGTGTTGAGACTCCATCGTTTCACAACACAGTCAAGTATTGCTGAGCAGAGCTTCGACTCAGCCCACACACACACACACACACACACAACGCACGCGACACAGACGTCTGCGTGTTCGAACACACAGGCCAACGGGCTCCAAGCTCACGCTGTGTCTGTCGTACTCGACGCGCACGAGGCGGATTGCCAGCTCTCCCGGTGCGATAGCGCCGTCGCCACCGCCGCCCACAGGCTCGCCTGACAACCAAGGACACGAACAGCACAGCATGCACGCAAACGGAGAGTGTAAGCCCGTATTGGCACGATGATAAGAAGGAAGTTGCGAACATAAACTGAAAGCCAGCTTCAATGGTGGTAGATATGGTGGTGGGGTGGGATTGGCGGTGTTGTTCGTGTTGTAGCGTCACTCTCAACACCACCAATGGCCGCTTTGAGCAACGCTGTTGCTCCCTCAGTTGCTCCCTCCATACCTTCATGATCCAGGCCTGTGTCCATGCTGGCCACGAGGTTCATCAAGTGCAGTTTTGCGTCATCTTCCGACAGGCTTGCAATCTCTTCAAGCTCTAGCGGGGTTGGTCGTGGAAGAGTGGATGAAGGTGAGGGTTCGCATATCGTTAGTTAGTGTGCATGTGCACAAACACACGCACAACACACTCAACCACACACACACACACAAGTACACACCTTGGTTAAAGAGGATGGGCCGATCTGAAAGAGGAGGAAAGTGCTTCGCATCACCCCCAACACATCCACGTCCACCGCCCAGCAGTACCAGCAGCAGCACCAGCAGCAGCAGCGCCAACAACCGCCCACGCATCATCGTCTTCATCTTCCTTCCGCAAACCCAAATACTGGTGAATGTTCACGGAAGATATTGCGAATCGCCATCAAAAACAACCAAAACACAAACAGCAACAGAACAGCGACCTTGTTGTTGTTTGGTGGTGCTTCGTGTTGTTGTGGTTGCGTTTGTGTCCCCTCGCTCGCTCGCTCGCTCTCCTTCTTCTCCCCTTGCTTGCTTGCTTGCTTGCTTGCTTGAAGTGGTGTGGTCACCATGGGGAGTGGGGCAAGCAAGGCAAAGCAGAAGAAACCAGCAAAGCCTTCTGCAGGCAGCCGGCAAAGCATCCAAGTGCAGCCGAAAGCCAACGACGAACAACAGCAGCAGCAGCAGCAGCAGCAGCAGCATGAACTGCCTCCGGTGAAAGTGCCCCCTCACGCGGCATCGCCCAACACCAACCAGCCAGAACAACAACAACAGCAGCAGCAACAGCAGCAGCAACAGCAGCAACATGTGGGTGGGGAGGATGATGATGTTGGGAGCGCTTCGACGTCAAAGCCACACTCCCGTCGGTCACGGCGATCAAGCGTCACCAGTGGGTCCAGTGGGCCTGGGTCTCGACCCAGCACACAGCAGCGCCTTGTCACTTCCACCCGCGACGCCGTGCCAGCACACCTTGAACGGCCTGCCAGCCGCGGCCAAGCGAAAAGCGACCCAGCGTCTGCAGAGGCCTCAGGCCCAACAGCGGACGAATCCCTGGTCCTGCAAGACATTGATGCCGGTACTGCAGCAGGCACGACCACTGACACCAACAACAACAACAACGACGACGACAACAACAATAGCGACAACAAACCCAACAAGGACGATAACACAGCTGCTGCTGACGGCGGCAAGAAGAAGGCTCGCAAAAAGGCCACGCTCATGTCCCTGACAGTGGACGGCACAGGTGTTGACGGTGATGGTGTTGTTGACGAAGGCGACAGTCACTCGCAATCCACAGATGTCGCTGCAGCGCCACCGCATGGCAGTGATGATGCAGACACAAACGGGACCGCGACAGCGCCCCGCGACAGCACCAGTACACGCAGCAGCGACAGCAGTAGCAATGGCGCCATGCACCGCCCGGTCTCTGCTGTTGCCATGTCACCAGATGCCATGGGAGAGGAGGAGGAGGAGGAGGATGGTGTCGACTCTGATGCTGAGTTGACGGTCGAGAGACACGAGCAGGGCGAGGGAAATGGCGGCGCTGACAGTGGTGGTCATAGCGGCGATGGGATGGTTGCACCAATCCAAGCCTGGGGTGACGACGGGTCGGCGGCAGCAATTGGCCAATCGCGCACATCCGAAGCGTTTATCGAGGACTCCGAAGCCATCTTCAGGGTGCGGTGATGTGTGTGTGTGGGGGGGGGGGGCGCAGGGCATGCTTGTTTGTATGCATTTGCATTCGTGCTCACGCAACCAACCACTCACAACACAATCAACCAACCAATCACTCACAACACAATCAACCAACCAACCACTCACGCAACCAACCACTTAACCATCATCAGGAGTTTGCGGCCATCATCTTCCGCCGCGCAGATTTGAATGCAAACGCGCGATTGGACATGAACGAATATGACGCCGTCCTCCGCTCCCCGTCCCTCAACCTCAGCATCTCAGACGCCGTGCGTGTGTTCTGAGTGTGTGGGTGGGTGTGTTTTGTGTGTGCATGTGTGTGCATGTGTGTGCATGTGTGTGTGTGTGTGTACTGTGTGCTGTGTGCGCGCGTGTGTGTGCATGTGTACATGTGTGTGTGTGTTGAGTACTTCGGCCTCACGTGCAAGCCATTCGCTGCTTCTCTTCTTCTTCAGGATGCCATTGACCTCTTCTATCAATACGACCACGATAAGGTGTGTGGTTGCGTTTTGTGTTGATGATTGCTTGCTGACAACCACGACAACACGTATGCATGCACGCACAATCACAGACACGCGCGCACAATTTTTCACCATACTGCCACTGCGCACTTAAACAGGACGGCGCCCTCTCGTTCTCGGAGTTTGAACCGCTGCTGAACATGCTCATGTGCTGCGCATACAGCCAGCTCGGCTCAGGTGGGGTTGCAGACAAGAGGAGGGGATGCAGGGGTGGATGTGGTTGATTGAGGAGGTGGTTTGAATGAGGTGAATGGGGCTGGCAGGAGCGATGGTGGTGCGCCACACGTGCGAAGATGAGCCATGTGTGCTTTTCATTGAATGACTTATCAGCCTTCCCTCACGCAATAACAATACACCGTCACCACCACCACCCTCACCCTCACCACCATCGTCGTGGCTGCAGAGGAGGAGGCGTGGGTGCGGATTGGATTCGCTGGGGAGGAGGACGATGCACTGCCGCTGTTCTTCAACAGGAGGACCGGTACCATGACATACACAACCCCGCAGTCATACATCAGTCTCGACGAGGTGCACGCGTGCTCGTAGTGGTGGTGGTGGTGGTATGTGATGGTGATGGTGACGCGTTGTAGTTGTGATGAGGAGGGTGGTCAGTGTGACCATGGACTGCATGGTAATGACTCTTGGACCCACACACTCACACTCACACACACACACACACACTCACACACACACGCACACTCACACACGCACTCACACACTCACACACATTCACACACACACACACAACACTCACATCGCCTTTCTCTCTCTCCACGCACGACAGGACCCAGCGCAGCAGTTTGAGTACTTCACGACGGGCGACGGCAGCATCGTGACGACGTGCACGGCAGAGGATGGCACGCGCCACTACCTCGACATGGACACGCAGGTCAGGGAGGTGGGGGAGGGGATGGGGTGGCTCTGTGTGTGTGTGTGTGTGTTTGTGTGGCTGTGTGTGTGTTTGTGTGGCTGTGTGTGTGGGTGCGTGAGTGTGTGAGTGTGTGTGTGTGTGTGTGTGTGTGTGTGTGTGTGTGTGTGTGTGTGTGTGTGTGTGTGTGTGGTGGATGTGTGTGTGTGTGTGTGTGTGGATGTGGATGTGGCCCTGGTGTTTGGTTGTGGTGATACATGTGGACACGATGCAGTGCCATGTGCTCTTACGCAACAATTCCACCACCACATCACCACTTCACACCGTCACCATACCACGCCCCACCACCATATCTTGACCAATGTGCAGTCGTGGGTGCCGGTGACTCCCGAGATGGAGGCAGAATTGCAACCGCTCGACAACGGTTATGAGGACGACAGCGGCGACGTGTGGGCGGCGGGCGGCGGTCACGTCTACGACAGCACACACACGCACGCAGACAAGGGGTGAGTACTGCACAGAACATCGTGTACGTCTGTGTGCTCGTGTGTGTATGTGTGTGCGCGCGTGTGTGTACGTCTGTGTGCGCGCGTGTGTGTACGTCTGTGTGTGTGTGTGCGTGTGTGTGTGTGTATACATCTGTGTGTGTGTGTGTGTGTGCGTGCACTTCAAGCGTCGGTTTACCATTTACTTTTAGACCTTCTCCCTCACGGCCACTTCTTCCCACCGCCACTTCATCCCCCCCCCCCTCGGCAACACCGCGACTGTTGTTCAGGTCTGGTGCGCAAGGCGGCATCAGCACGCTGGCCGGCCTCTCGTTCGACACCATCGAGAACCCAATCACGGGCGAGGTGCGGCTTCAACACTGATGAGCGGCGTGGTGATGGGTGCTGTGATCAGTGATGGCGGTGAAGTGGTGGGCTGTGGCGATGGGCTGTGCCACCCATGAGCATGCTCTTGTCCGCTCACGTCGACAACGTACCACCACCACACGTACACCCACACGTGCAAACACTCACACACTTTCACCGACCCGTCTCCCGCTTGCTACGCACATTCCGGCAGTCTGTGTTCACGTGTGTGAGCAAAGAGGAGCGAGACGTGCGGTTCTATGCGGATCCAAAGACATCGCAGCTCAAACCGCTGCCGACGCAGTGGGAGGCCGTCATCCCAGCAACAGAGCACGCACTCGCACAAATTGAACAGGTTCGTGGCGTTGTGTTGTGTTGTGGTGTGTTGTGTTGTGGTGTGTTGTGTGTGTTGTGCTGTGTTGTGTGTTGTGTTGTGCTGTGTTGTGTGCTCATTTGTTTGTGCCTTTGTGCATATGTCTGTGCTGCTCTTGCGAGTGTTCCCCTGTCTGTCCATCTTGTCTCAACATGATCAGCTCAGCCTGTAAACAACCACTCAACGCCACCCACCCATCCATCCCGTCCCCGAAGGCGTTTCCAAAGTGGTCGAACACGCGGGAAAAAGTGCTGGCGCTGCGACTCAACAACTACGACGTTGACAAGACCATCGAGTGGATGGTAGGGAGGGGGACGTTGAGGGAGGGGGGTGGAGGCGTTGGCAGTGTTCTGGACATGGTGTGTGGAGACACGTGTTATGTGCGTGCATGCGTGCGTATGTGCATGCGTGCGTGTTGGATAATGATGAAGTGCTGGATGCATTGCTTGCTATCTGACTCCACACCATCATTCCTCACCCCCAAACAACATCCTGCGTCGCTGCTGCCAGCGGGAGGAGGGCGCGTTCACGGGCGACGTTGAAGGGGAGCACGGCCAAGGGGCAACAGTGCACGACCTCACGGCTCTCCGCACGCTCAAGGAAAAGCACGAATCCCTGCAGCAGGAGGTGTGGTGGTGGTGTGCTTATGTAATTGTGTGATTGTGTGTGTGTGTGATTGTGATTGTGTGTGATTGTATGTGGAAGCAATGCAGTGCTGTGTTGATTGTGGAAGCAGTCCAGTGTGCGCCAATGTGTCACGTGTCATCTACATGCTTGCATCTCTTCCCAACGCGCGACCCCTGCTCACCGCTCATTACCCCTCCATCACCTCCTCCGCGTGTCAGGCTGCGGATCTTAACAGACGCGTGCTGGAACTGCAGGCGAAGATTGAAAACATTGAGGACGAAAAGGCCGGCGTTGCGCGCGATGTGAGTTCTGGTGTGGATGGTGCCGTCACATGGCCATGTGTTGCACAGCACTGTTTCACTCACTCACTCACTCACACTCACACTCACACACACACACACACACACACACACACACACACTCACTCACTCACACACTCACTCGCTCACTCACTTACTCACTTACTCACTCACTCGCGCACACTCTTGTACCATGTCACATTTGCCATCAGCTTGAGAACAGCCGCAAGTTGGTGGAGCGACAGGCGACGCGAATCTTCAACTTGGAGGAACAACTCGAACAGGCGCAGGTGCTGCTGCTGCTGTTGTTGTTGTTGTTTGTTTGTTGTTGTAGTTGTTGTTGTTGTTGTTGTTGTTGTTGTTGTTGTTGCTGCTGCTGCTGCTGCTGCTGTTGTTGTTGTTGTTGTTGTTGTTGTTGTTGTTGTTGTTGTTGTTGTTGTTGTTGTTCAGTCACGCTGCTTGCATGTAAGGTTTTGTTTACACACACAAGCACGCACGCACTCCCTCACATACGCTCACACACGCACACACACACACGCACTCCCTCATACACACACTCTCTGTTATCTCCTTTGCATCAGCGGGAGAGCGTGCACAAGGGCCCGAGTGCTGAGGATGTGCAGCACTACGAGGACAAGATCAAGAGCCTGCAGGCACAGCTGGAGATGACACAACAGGGCAAAGACGAAGCTATGCAAGGCCTCCTCAAGCAACAGGTGCGCACTTGCGTTCACGCTGCGTGTCTGGACGTTGGCGTTGCCAGGGGTTTGAGTGTTTGTCATCATGATACTCGTTTGTTTGAATCGAGGAAGCAACCTGCTTGTTCCATCCAATCACCACCCTGCATCTGCTGTTCACTCATCCATCACCCCATGCATGCGTGTATGCATCCATTCATTCATCCATCCACCCACCCAATGACAATGACAATGACGATGATGATGACGATGATAGGGTGAGGAGATGGCCAAGTTGCGTGAGAGCGAATCGAGATTACGACAGCAATTAAAGGAGTCGCAGGTCACCAGCTCCGCCAAATATAACAAACTCCACTTTGCTCTCGAGGTCAGTGTCCGTGTGTGTGTGTGTCTGTGTGTGTGTGTGTGTGTGTGTGTCTGTCTGTGTGTGTCTGTGTGTGTGTGTGTGTGTCTGCGTGTGTGTGTCTGTGTGTCTGTCTGTGTATCTGTGTGTGTGTGTGTGTGTGTGTGGCTGCGTGTGTCTGTGTCTGTGTGTCTGCGTGTCTGCGTGTCTGCGTGTCTCTGTGTATTTGCCGGTGATTTGACTCTCAAACCGCACACGCGCGCCATTCCCCACTCCATCTCACCTTGTCTGCCATTTTACGCACCACCAGGAGCTCAAGCAACAGAACACGCTGCTGAAGGAAGAGTATCATACAAGCGCAGAAGGTGCGGAGGCTGTCC